AGCTATAATATAAGTCGTAAGTTCAGTTTAGTAAGGTATACATGGCTGAAATTTTTACCACAAGCGTTTCTCACTGCCACCATGTATCCCTGAAAGTTTCAGCTCAAGCCTATGCTCAAAAGTGGCAAGTCGATTCTGAGGGGGGGGCCCTTAAGAAAAAATTGTAATTCGATTTATGATATTTCCAAAGATATTTTATGCGGAAAACAGTTGAATAGTCTAGTCGATTCTTTACAGTCGCGAATACGATTATCATTTACATGTTTTGTTTCATATATTTTGAAACATATTGTTGATGATTACGGATTAGAATCTTTAGTTCAAGTATCAAGCAAACATAATAATTGTAATCAATTACTAGATTTAATTGATTATTCATCATTTATTGTTAATTATGAAAATGAAAATACTCTAATTATGAAACGAATGCTAACATTGAATGACCATTATTCTTGTGTACTTCAAACACCATTATTTTATTTATGTGGACAGTGTATTAAAAATTTATCGGATGATATCAAGTTAAAGTTGGCTCAGCAATTAAACGGTTCGAGATTTTATTCTCATAGGGAAAAAATACTGATATTGAAAGTTTTTCTTAAAAAGAATAAGATCCAAGCTACAGAGTATAACTTTAAGAAAACTGCTTATTTTTCAAATTAAACTATGTTACTTTTAGCAGCATAAGTAATAAGTAGATTTGTGAAAAACATGATACCTATTTGCACTCTCTAAAAAAAGAAATAGTTATGCTAGGGTATCTTTTAAAGTTCCGCAGCAGCTGCGAAACCTAAAATGGTTCTTATACTGGGCAAATATGCCGAATCTTTCCTAGGAAACCTTTTTTAAGATCGATGGAATGCAAAAACGTTCGGTACGAGCGATAAGAAACAATTCATGTTCGGGAGGAAACCGTACAGGTTTTGCATCAAGTCATCAAGAATTCGTCTCGAACCTGAATGGTTTGGCATTATTCATACCGAACGTTTTTGCATTCCATGGATCTTAAAAATGTCTCGTAGGAAAGGTTCGACGCGTGTGTCCAGGATAAGAACCTTTTTAGGTTTCGTAGCTCCTGCAGAACTTTAAAAGAGTTCGGTATTATAACTATTTTTTTAGAGTGCACTGTTTTCAACGACCATAACATATGATCATCATTACAATGGCAGAAAAATGCTATTCATAAAGTGGTTATGAGGTAGTTCGAGTCTAGGTACAAAATTTCACCACTGAATAATCACTCCTCCTAACCATCTCTAACTGATAAAATCGCTGTGCTCACAAAAAGGCTTCGGTGCAAAGGTTTAGATCAAAATCTAAGAAACCTTCAAAAGGTTTAGATTCCGTTGCAAATCTGGAAACCTTTTTTTAAGTTTCTTAGGATGCACGAAATCATTTGTGGCCCTAAAATGTTCCTCATGAAACCTTTTGTATACAGTGTAGCTTTTTATTACGCAACTGAAAGTGTCTTTTCAGTTATACTTGTATATCTTGTAAAATCTACGAAAATCATAGATTATTTAATTAGAACTAATTATTTAGGATTTTTCAATACTCCTATTTTTTATTTTATTAAAATGTTTAGAAAAAGAAAACAATCGTCGTTTCGATTATTATGATGTACCAGCAACAACATTTGACAATTGGTTTGATAATGAAGATAATAAGGATCGTACACAAGAAAAACATCGCAATCGATTGATTCAATCACTTATGAATGATGCAGCCTTACCGCACATTATTTCATCATCAATTCTTCAATCTTATATTAATGATTCCATACGAGTGCTTTGTAAAATTATTGGAAACCATTTTCATGAGGATGAAAAGGTTTCATTTAATTCTTCATCTAATCGTGATATTTGGCAACTTGCACATATTTATACATTATTTGAATATGAAGAAAAGGATATTCTATCATTTTATTCTGCTTGTCGAATTACAGAAAATTTCGATCGAAATCAATCATTCTATAATGATCTCCTAGCCGAGGAAGATATGACACGTTTGCAAGTACGAGAAAATTTATTTCGTTTAATGTTTCATCATCTATGGACAAAACTTTGTGAAATATGTCAAACCAATGAAAATGCTAAACAATGGATACATTGTTTTACATTAATATCAAAATATTATCCATCCGAAAGTGTTTTAAAACGAATGGAATTCGTTCATATGAAAATAAAAATTGAATTTATGAATTTAGCCTATTTAATATTAGTTAATGAAAAAACACCAGAACCTATTCAACTCTTTCAACAACTATTAAATGAGACTTCATTGATGCAAGATGATATTAATGATTATCATGCTAATTTAGAAGGATCTGCCAACGGAAAATTTTTTCAACCAAAACCGCGGCTATTGGCGGTTTACCAGTTGCGACTCTCAGCGATTATTATGAACTGCAAAAGTCAGACCGTTTATTAGGTTTTTTTACACCACCCAAAATCGCGGTATCCTCAAATTGCAGTTATTAACGATTTTTGAAAAAAATTAATTCATCATATAATGATATATTATACCTGGCATCTATGCGGTAATCCTTGATTTTCCATGTTCGCGACATATCTTCGATCTCAATGCAGCGATTGAATACCGCGGTCAACTCGTTTAATACCACTACCTATTTATTATTATTCCCCTCTAGCTAGATTCGAACATCTTACCATGTCATTGCAATCCACTAATTCGATTGAGCCATATGGCTATGTTCATATTAATATTAAATATGATAGTCTCTCTGATCAGTGGTGAAAAATCTCAGACTTATGTTTACTAGCAAATTTATAAGAATCTTAGAATTACTAGTAATTTATACGNATATTTTAATATATATTTGTCTATATTTTTAATTTAATATAATCTTAACTTTACATGACGTTTATTCAGGCCTGATGTGATTCTAAAATATTTTCTCTGTAATTCGACTTTTGGAATTAATTTCTTTTAAATTAATTTTATATTATCATACAAAATGAATATAGATATAAAGTTTATTAAGGTTTAATAAAAAAATGTTATATTTTTATTTTTGAAATTATCAGCTTATAATCTGTTTCATTTCTCAAGCAGAAGAAAGCAGAACTTAAATTCAAGCAGAACTTTTTTATCAAATCATGACTGTATGTATCAAAATTGGTGTGATATCTCATTATGACAACAATCACATAAAAAGTCTCAGAATATACTAAGACTATATTCTTCTGAATAATGATATCTTTGGAAATAATGTATGGAGATCGCGATTCGTAATAGCAAGGTCACAAGATATAATATCGCGAAAGATAGTGGTTCTCGAATACCGCAAATAATCTACATATTACCTAGTTTTTTTCAAACCGCGACTTCCAGCGGTAACTACATGGCGGTTTCGTTAGAACGTACCGCGGTAAATCTATATTGCGGTAAAACATACCGCGATAAAATGCAGCTTATTTCGCACACCTCGGCCTCCAAAGATATAACCGCGGTCATTATCAAAAAACCGCGTCTAACAGCGGTATCTACTTAAATATTTTTCCGTGGGTAGTTGTTTAAAATTACTATCAACCATAATTCAAACGATAGGTCAATATTTTGAAAATAATAATAATAACAGTACATTAATGATTGACATACAACAGTGGATTATGAAAATATTAAACACATCAAATCGTTCATCAAATCAGAAAATCATTTTTCTATTGAAATTTTTAAATCAATCGAAATGTCATTTATCATTACCAATGAAACAGGTTATTTTTGATGAATTAGCTAATATTTCAATGGAACGTAGTCGAACCAATCGTCTAAGTACTCATAGGCAATCAAATGATTTTTGGGATCGACTGTCTTTACTATCGATTATAACGGAATGCATAACAGATGAAAATCTAGAAAATTATCAAATACCTTATCATCCATCTGTTATTACGAATGACACTCAAACTTGTATATTATTTGATTTATTCTTGTTAGTCTGTAGACTAACCAAACGTTTTTATTATACCTTTCTTCTTGCCTCAAGCTTCCACATCTTACCCAACTTCGCCTCTTTTCCAATACCAGTTCACATAGGTCTCTTGACCAATAGATAGATAAGAGAAGGAAGAGAGGTAGTGGGCAGAGATAGCGCCACTACCTAACACCTCTCCTTTACAAGTGAACAGTTGCATCTGTTCACAACAACATTGGAAATAGATACAAAAAAAAATATAGTCATTACATAACAAAACAAATAGGAGAAGATGAAACGAAATGTACCCTATAGCCAACAAGATAAACAAGGAAAATGTAGCTATGATAGCGATATAAGGTGAACACAAGTTATTATTATTATATATATATATATATATATATATGTATATTTTTTTTTTAGTAGATTCAATCTACTAGATTGATCTAAGGTCTTGTACGGTGATGCGTGTGTGCTGATTGTTTTTAGTATTTTGAACGACATAAGTTTTGTTGTTGACTTGTTTAACAATCGTATAAGGACCGATGAATTTCGAAGAAAACTTGTTCATAGCTAGACTACGATTTCGAATAATGACATTTTGACCGATATAATATTGAGGATTCGAACGATTGCTGTCGTATCGTTGTTTAGCTTTAAGTTGATGACGAAGATTATTATTTCGAGCTGCAAGTAGAGTATGTTCCATAAATTGTTGCATTGTTTTTCGATAAGTGTCAGTAGTAAGTGGTACTGATGGTGGCGAAATGAAATCGAACATAAAACGAGGAGAACGGGCAAACATTAATTCGAAAGGTGTATAACCGGTAGAATCATGTCGAGTTGTATTGTAATTATATGTTGTAGGTAATAATTTTTCATCCCAATTAGATCTAGAATGATTTGAAAGTGCAATTAGATTAGGGACTAGTGTACCATTATGACGTTCACATTGACCATTGGCTTGAGGATTATACGGCGTAGTTTTTATGTGGCAACAACCAACGAGTTTGATTAATGATTCATATAAAGCTGATGTGAAATGACGACCATTATCTGTGATGATTTCTAATGGAACACCATAAAGCATGAAAACACCATATAATAAAAATCGAGCGACTGTTGTTGAAGTATTATCCGGGACGGGTTTAGTTACCACGAACTTCGAAAAGAGATCAGTGAGAACTAAAAAATATTTATTACCGGATTTTGATTCTGGTACTGGACCAACATAATCCATTGCGAGACGTTCCCAGACCCCACGAGGGGGTTCGATTGATTGTAAATGACCATCTGGCTTTCGACGAGAAGGTTTATTTTTTCGACAATTAATACAAGATGAAATATGTTGTACAATATCTTTGTACATATTGGGCCAGTAAAAACGATCACGTATCTTGTAAAACGTTCGTTTAACACCGAAATGTGCACCGCAAAATGTTGAATTGTGATAAGCTGATAAAACTTTAACTATCAGAGAAGCTGGAAGATAACGAAGATGAAGTTGTTGTCCGGATTTTCGTTTCACAATTTTAAAAAGAACATTGTACTTGTCAATGACGTAATTCGGATGTAATCGGTGGCTCTTTTTTATTCGTTGTATCTCAGGGGCTGCGTTTTGGTGTTGAGCTAGTGTATCATTATCGAAAAAAATTTGAATGTCGTTGATTGATGATGTTGCTGGCGTTGCAGATGTAGTAGGTGGACATAATTTCGATGGTTGTTGTATTGATGGATTAGAAGAAAATTGTTGTTTACGGGTCATTGCACGTGTTGTAACAGCATTGATGAAAATGTCATCGGTTTGAGTTGAAGAGGTAATAAGATGTGGTTCATTATCATCGATAACGTCGGGTTTATCAACTGGATAACGAGAAAGAGCATCAGCAGTGGTGTTTTCTTTACCGGAGATATGTCGAATAATCATATCATATTGTTGTAATGTTGTCATCCATCGTTCAATACGTGAATTATGATATGTTTTTTTTCATTAATGATAGCAGCGGTTTGTGATCCGTTTCTACGGTAAATTGTTGACCTTCGATATATGAATGGAACTTCTGAGTGACACTCCACCAAATAGCTAATGCTTCGAGTTCAATGGTAGAATAACGAGTTTCAGCTGGTTTTAACGTTCGTGAAGCAAAAGTAACGGGTTTATAAATAGATGTTGTATTATAACGATTAACGGTCTGTTCCTGTAGCAACACCACACCAATACCAACACCTGATGCATCCGTTCTAATAATGTATGGTTTACCAGGGTCATGAAATATTAATACAGCCGGAGATGTTATCATGATCTTTAATTGATCAAAGGATGATTGTTCACTATCGGTCCATATGAACGGATAACCTTTTGTGCTAAATTTATTAAGTGGTGAAGAAATTTGGGCAAACCGAGGGATAAATTTCCGGTAAAAACCAACCATCTGTAGAAATGAATGAGCGGCTTTACTTGATGTAGGTGTTGGAAATTGTATAATAGCACGGACATTATCATCATTAGGTAAACAGCCAGCTGCACTAATTTTATGTCCAAGAAATGAAATGTCATTTTGAAAAAATGAACATTTATTATTATTTAACTTAAAATTGGAGTTGTTGAGTGCTTGACAAACTTTACTAAGATCGATAAGATGTTGATCAAACGAACAAGAATAAACAACGATGTCGTCTAAGTATGCAAGACATATATCCCAACGTAATGATCCAAATGTTTGATTCATTAATCTTTGAAAAACAGATGGAGAATTTTTTAAACCTTGTGGTAATCGATTAAATTGCCACGGACCATCAGGACTGATAAATGCAGTTTTTTCCCGTTCATCAGATACTAAAGGTACTTGAAAATACCCGCTACGTAAATCGAGTTTTGAAAAAATGTGTGAACCATTGAGACGTTCGAGAACATCATCTATACGTGGCAATGGATATACATCTTTTTGAGTAATAGAGTTTAATTGACGATAATCTATACAGAATCGTGGTGATCCATCATGTTTTTTCACAATTACGACCGGGGAGGCCCATGCGGAATTCGAGGGGCTAATAATTTCATTGTGTAACATTTTTTTTACTTCTTCGTTTATGATTTGTCGATTCATATGTGAGACTCGACGTGGATGTACAGCTAATGGAGCATGTGAACCTGTATTGATAGCATATTGAGGTGTACAATTTATTCCTTTGACACAAGAATCATCAAAAAGTCGTTCGTACTGATGGAGCATCATATAAGCTGTCATTCGTTGAACCGGATTATCGATGTGTTCAACTAATTTATTTATTGTTTTTGTTGTGCATGTTACATGTCTATTACAACAATCAATCATGTGTTCATACAAATCACTTCGAGAAGAACATTCAACAGCACAATGAATACATGAAAATGAGGTTAACGAATGAGAAGACAAATGACAAACATTAGCACATAGTTCAGGAATGACATTCATATCAAAGTCCTCCGCTGATGGAGAGATAAATCCTAATGGAGTGTAACGTGGTATAGTTTTTGGAAGTTGTGTATTATTCTTGATCGAGATAATGCCTCGATAATTACGAATATGAAGGACCGAGTGTGGAATCATGACTAATTTTGAACGTTGTAATGCTAAATTAGGTGTAAAAATTACATTTTGTAAGGATTTAATAGGAACACAACCTGAAATAAATTTCTCATGGAATGGTGGAATAACAATTGAGTTTTGTAATGACATGGCTAATGGTTCAATACATGATACGGGTAGTAATGGAACAGATGTATTCCCATCATGAATGCAAATACGATTCGTAGAGAAATCAACATTGACATGATGTTTTTGAATCCAATCTCTTCCTAAGATCATAGGACAAACAAGGTCATGAGTGACATAAGCATCAACCGTAGTCATAATGTGATTAATTTTTACTGTAAGATTAACTAATCCAAGGAGAGATATAAAACCGCTATTCGCTGTATGAACCTCTTTTAAAGAACAAGATATCATTGGAGAATGTTTCATACGTTTTAATGTTTGTTCTTGTATAAGTGATAAAGCCGCACCGGTATCAACTAGAACTTTTGTAATAAGATTGTTAACGGGAACTTTAATTGATGATGAATGTAAAGATGATGGTTTTTTCGTATTCCAAGAGGTATCACCATCTAGATACCTCGTTGGAAGTTTTTTCGATTCGGACAATATTTAGCTATATGACCAAAACGATGACATTCGTAACATTGACGTGATGTAAAACTTGTTAATGAATTTGGGGAACCATAAAGAGGAGGTAAATGTGATGATCGATCATAAACAAATTTAGAATTCATAAGCGGTTGTGGTGGGGGCGTTGTGCGTGGTTGATAATTAGATGCATGTGAACTTGGATGAATGGATCGTTTCAGCATTGAAATTGTGTCGTCACTATTATCATCATTTAAATCAATATTTTGTGGATGTTTTGTATCATAACTTAAACCATTTAATGTAAGTTGAATTTTTTCTTCTTCTTGTGCCATAACAAGAAAATCAGAAGGTGTAATTGGACGACGACGAATTACATGTGGAATTAATTTACTTTTTAAACCTTTTGTTAAATGATGAATAACCATCGCGGAACTCATACTGGGGTCAGCTTGTGAACATAATTGACGTTTATCAACATAATATTCGAGTACGGATTCATGTGGTAATTGTCGTCGCTGTTCCATTTTTAATAACATTTGATTGAGTGAAGGTTGATAAGCTTTAATAATTTCCAGTTTAAATGTAGACCAGTCAGATATGGCAGACTTGTTGTGTCGAAACCATTTCTCTGCTGTGCCAGTTAAATATGATTGGACAGCTATATATTTATTTGATATTTGTAATTGGGCTCGATCGAATACAGTGTCCACATCACATAACCATTTAACCACATCTTCATGATCAGCGCCACTAAATTTCACCAATGTTCTAATTTGTTCTTTAGCTAACGTATTCATAAATTGTTCTTCCATTGTAGATAAAAAGACGGGACGATAAACAATAGAATTAATGTCAACGTCCAACCAATAACTAGAATTAAAATCAATATCCGCTAATCGTTGAGCTTCTTGTTCGAACAGGTGATTATAATGGGCACGAGTCGTCACGATTAACAGGACATTTTTTTTTATAATATTTCAAGTCACAGAATAACCACAAATATAAATAATGATTTGAGGGCAATGAACCGGATAATCAATATTGAATCTTGATAATATATATAAAGGGAATACCACGAGGATTATGCAGAATCTCTTGGTTGAATAATGTCTGAGACACTAAACGAGTTACAACCAAACAAAACCAAACAACAACAAAAAATATGGTCAATGAAGAGGAAAAAAAACGAATATAGTCAATGAGAAAGAAAAAAAATGAAACAATGGAAAGAAAATGAACGACACAAAAAAAACGAAAATGAACAACACAAAAAAAAACGAAAATAAGCAGTGAAAACAAAAACGAATATAATATCTATATTATAAGATAAACACCAGCAAAAATAGTAAATACTTGAACCTGAGAACGAAACGAACAATCAGCTAGAGATAGGAGAGAAAAACAAAAATCAGTATGTTCGACAAGTAGTTATTATTCTTCTCGAAGTGGGTCACGGCACCAATTGTTAGTCTGTAGACTAACCAAACGTTTTTATTATACCTTTCTTCTTGCCTCAAGCGTCCACATCTAACCCAACTTCGCCTCTTTTCCAATACCAGTTCACATAGGTCTCTTGACCAATAGATAGATAAGAGAAGGAAGAGAGGTAGTGGGCAGAGATAGCGCCATTACCTAACAATTCTTTTTTCACCTTCGACAATTATTATATGATGAAAAAATTCAAACCGATTTAATCAATAAAATTCTTCTCTCAAATTTGCCAAAGATTAATAACACACATCGAAGTTCTATTGCAGAAAACGTGTTCAAACAATTAAAAGAATATTTCGCCTTACAAACTACAGCTTTATTGCTATGTCAATCTGATTTAAATACTCAATATCAGCAAAGAATTAACAGTATTCTCACGACTGTTATAAATCAATATTTAACTATTGCAACGCCAATCGTACAATTGAGCCATTACGTTGAACATTTTTGTACAATTATAATTAATCAACGCTCATGGAATTTTCTTCTTGATCTACTCAAATCGGAACGTATTCAACATTTAAATTTTCAATGGGCTAATACATTATATGCTCTATTCTTATTAGAAGATAATACTCAACGTAATAAATATCTTCATTATAGTGATCAATTACAATTTACATTAGCAACGGACACTACTTTTTTGATCTTTCCTACATTACATCAGCCCTATAATGAACTAAATCTATTAATTGACAGATGCGTCAAAGATAACAATGTTGGACAACGTTGGATACCTTTAACTAATTGGATAAAATCAAAATTAAACTCTAATCCACCGATTCTTAGTGCTATTGAAATAAAAGTAATGTTATTACTAAATATTTACTATAATTATTATGGTAATGCTCAATTGAATTCTCTGGGTAATTTATTGACAATTATTGAGAATACATTTCAATTATGCGATGAAGAAAAACTAGCATTTCGTGTATTTCTACAACCTGAACAATATATGACAGGATATCAAAAACATGACACTGAACATAGAAATTATCTTAATGATTTATTTCAAATTGATTGCCAAGATCAAGAACAATTGCCTATTCATCAAATGCTTGTTAATATTTTAGCGATGATTTTACTCAGTGGAAAACAAAATACTCTCTGGACATTCACATTCGAACCGTTGAAACTTGAACATACACACGGTGATTTTTGATTAATAGAAACTATCGATATTTTATATAACTAGTATATCCTGTTTTCTATGATAGGTTTTGCATCGACTGCAACTAAACCCATTATGCGTAATGGTATTCATTATGATTGCGGGTGTGTCTTATCTGAAAAAGGAGAATTAGTGCAACGCCATGAAGGCAATGAATTCAGTGTTCCAACGGTTTACCCAAGTGAGCAAAAAAATAGGGAGGACGGGCGACATGACTAGTCCAAAAAGTCTGCTATACCCGTCAAGTCTAGTCTAATACGTCTTCCATATCTAT